TCTGCTTTTTCTGCTGCTGTGCTCTTTCTTTTCCTGCCACTCTGCCTGCAGGATTGCAAGAATCTCTCGCTGCCTTATGCTCTTTGCTTTCTGTCTTTCTCTCACTGGAAAAATGTACTGTAGGAAATAACCCTGCACTGGTAGGGGATGAATTTTGCTAGATAACCTAGCAGGGCTTTTTTATTCTAATTTCTATTATTCTCTCTGAGCAGTCTGACCTGCCCTATCTGCTGCCAGGTCAGCTTCTTTCTCTTTCTTTCATTGTATTAAATGATTCCTCTTTATTTCTAGGTCCTCTCTGTGTCCTTCCCTCCTAGAATTACCAACTCCTTCTCTTGTCAAAGCTCCACATTCTCTTTGCAGTTCTCTCTATTCCTCACTATTTTCTTTCCTCCCTACCTTCCCAAATCCCACCACCCCTTTCCTCCCTACCTTCCCATCTCCCTTTCCTCGGCCACAGTCCCTTAGTTCTTATTTATAGTGCTAGCTTTGCTTCTCAGTCGTGCTATCACACACTGCTCAACTGTCAACTCTTTCTCTCCCCAACCATGCCTTAAGGGATAGAGCTTAAACAGAACATGAACTTCAAGTGGTTCATCTCTCCCCAGGAAATCCCTTAAAACCTTTTGGGGTGGCTTCTCTCCTACATTTTGTACCATTTTGCCTGTGAGTTGGGGTGGGCATCAGGGAGTTGGTGACTCTGAGGCTGACCCCAGCACCACTAAGAGCTGCTATTGGGCAACTCTCAATTGCATCCGTGACATAGGATCCTTCATGGACCCTGCGCTAGTAAGAATTGATGTAGTAAGCAGGACTATGTGATACCACTTTCCTGACCGCAGTGTGTCTCTTCTATCCCCCGAGCCAAAGTGAGGAGGAAGAGGCAAAGACCCACCTTAGGCACAGTTACTCCCAGCAGAGAGTTACTCTGCACCAAAGGAACTCTGTGTTGGGAATCTGTATTCAGATTGTGGTGCCTTTAAGTCTTCTGAATGGTGCAAAACAAACCAATCCACCAATCCTGACTAGAGAAGCTGGCCAATTACATTCAAGTACATTAAAGCTTTCTCCAAAAGCATTCCCTTAATCTCAATCCCAACTCCTTGCTTTGTTACTGCATATTTCAAACGCTCCCCTCTTCCCCTCAGAAAATGCAATAAATTGTTATTCACACAGTAAAGGGAGGCAGACAAGTGGCAGGATTCTGCAAGGGAACAGAGTAACTGACCTGGGCATGAAATACCACAGAAGCATGTTGGTTTGAGATCCTTCACTAGTTTGAGCAGACTGAATAATAAAAAGTGAGAGTCCTGAGAGAAAAATTAAACTTTCCATTCACAGAAGGTTGTTGCATGCTCACTAAACTCTTAAGTCCTGGCTGCTGTTTTGGCAAAACTAGTAAGACACACAAAATTAATTTCATGTCTCAGTGACATTACTTTCTGGAATTTTCTATTGACATAACCTCTGGAGTAAGGGTGAGAGCCAATAGACAATTGATCTGAAATCATTACTCCAACAGAAAATATTTCATACGTGAGCAGGGACACCAATAGGAAAATCATGTTGTGTTAGTGAAAAAGTTAGAACAGGAACTTTCCCGTCATCCATTAAAACATTAATAGTTCCATTACAAAAGACAATAAATGAAATAAATGTTTATACTTCTGATAAAATACACTTCAAAGGAGAGCCATAGTTTCATTTCCAAGTGAATTACGTCTATTTTTGTTTCACAGAAATATTGTCATGAATATATACATTTCCTCGTCTCTCACATACATAGAGTGGCCATGATTGTGCCATTCTTTCCTAGGTAGAACTCCCCATTGGAGTTACTAGAGAATTCTGATTAAATATGGATGGATGATATGATACAGTGGCATCTGAGATACCACAATTATCTCTTATTCTAAGTATAAAGAAGTGCTGTCTCTTCTTTCTAATATGCAATGTGCTTGTCACTGTGGTGTCAGGCTAGTCAATACACAGTTTGAGAAATTATCACTATTGACTAATTAAGAACCCTACCAGGAGGCTGAGGGAAAGTGCGTGAAGGCAGACCATCCACAGGTACAACATCCTGGAAAGGTGAAGTTCAAGAGGTACTTTCATGAAGGTATACTCTCTGGCCCTTGGGCCATCGTACAGGGTCAAGGAAATCGTGCTGCTGTGACTCAGAATCAAAAGAGGGTGGCTGGGAGGGAAGTTTGGCTAATAGCAGAGGCAGGCGCTACATCATTAAACCCCCTAACCAAGCTGTAATTACTCAGCCAGCAGACTAAACTCAAGCAGTGGCTGAATGTAATGAAGTCTCCTAAAGGCAGGACATTTTGCCTGCCTCTTCCAAGAAGCCTGAAATGCAGGCGTGGTCTGAATGGTGCAAAGATTCATGAGTGTGACCACACAATGATGGACATCAGGCAAAACAAAATCACCCATGACTTTAAGATGAAGCAAACCCTATGTATTGGATAGGAATTCAAACTTTTGGCACCAGAGAATCTTAACCTTCACCTGACAGCATCTTAAAGGCAGAGGTGATTACCCCATAGCAGAAAAATAAATCTGGCGTTATTCCATGAGGTAAATTGACAACTTATAGTTTGAGTTTGTACAGTAATTTACAAACTGCATTCTGTCATTCATTGTATATGTGAACTGAACACTTGGCTTTGACCCAAGCAAATTTTGGCATGTGTCAATGACCTACAGGCCTCTAGGACTCTCACAAGAATGTGAGTCCATATTTTATGTGGCTGTGTATTGGTGAATGGAATGTTTAAATAAATAGCAAATTGAGTCACATAGCCATGAATCAACAAATAAAATGTCCCGAGACAGGTCCCAAATGGGAATCCCCTCAATTTATGACCATGTACTGTAGGACACTCATGTTTTGAAGTGACCTCAGGGGTCTCTGAGATGAAGATTGGTAACATGGCAGACAACTGTCTCTCCTTTCCGGCTCTTAAAGTGGAGCTGCTCACCAGGGCAGTGAGAAACACAGTTGTATTGACTCTGGAACCAATTCAATTCAGCCTGGACTCAAGGTTCAGAACGTTCAGTGGAGAGCGATTATGTTAAGAGTATGTACCAGGGTTACATAATTCACAGGATCCTCTCCCTGCCTCCATGTTTTCCGACAATTAAGAAGCCACTGATTTGCATTTTTCATAATTTTAAAATATGCCTCATCTGTTGTGCACAGCACCTTGGTTTGTTATTACAGAGATGCTGATGACTGAAACACTGCTTGCACTGAGCTATTCGTTTGGTTTGTTTTAAACAAAATAATTGTAAAGTATTATACTCAGAGCAGTTTTAAGCAAAATCTCATGTCTCAATTGGTTTCTTTTAAGTATTCTTTGTGCTATAGAAATTTAAAGGGTTGTTTATTCATTACGTTCACATCATGTTGGACCAGCTTTCCAGTCCATACATTATTAAGAGACCTAGTTTAGTAACCTTTCTTTCATGGCCTGTGTCTTTTAAAACTGCAGGGAAATGCCATTTCTGAGTGACAAATAGGGACAAATGAACCTCATACCTTTTGAAGTTTTGCAAAGCTCACAAGCTGTTTTTCTGAGTTGACATAATAAGATGGAGTTCACAAACTATTGCTTCCCTGTGATTTAAACCCTTGGGTATTTCCCCCAAGGGCCATTCAATTTATTTAAAAAAAATGTTTCTACACAAGGGGAAACATGAGCTAAGAATTAGGAATGGAAGAACTTCCCCTCCCACCAAATCCAGTTAGACTAGGCACAAGTGTATCCAATTTATGATATATCTCTAGCTATATATCTTTCTATAAATAGAGAGGTAACAAGAACTTGTTGGGGAAATATAGTTCCACAAAACTGAAATTTTCAATCTGGAAAATCACATTGAAATATTTTGTTTCATGTCAAGCCAAATCAAAACATTTCAGTTTGTCAAACCAAATCTAAATGCCTCACTTGGGGTCAGTCTGACATTAATCTGTGTCCACGTGAGCTGCTGTGTTGCCTCATTGGAGTTGTAATTCAGAGCCTCGTGATCCTATTCTCCCTTAGAGGCTGGGCTCCCTGGTTGGGTTACATCTTCTACAATGAACCATTCAAAAACAAATGTGATGGGAAATTTTTAACCAGCCCTAACCTCAGCATATTGATCAGCCCCTCCCACCTGAAGATAGAAAGTGAAATCCTGCCCTTACTGATGTGATCCTGGGACTGAGGAAGGGGAGGGGAGTGAACATTTGGCCAAGCATAGGAACCAAAAGCTATATTGTCAATGCAGGACAGAATTGCTCAGGGTGTGCCTGAAACAACATGCTGATGCTCTGCAAAGGAGCTGCGTGCAACATTGGCTAATGCCTCTTCCCAACTGATAGTGCCAGCTGGTGGCCTGGCCATGCCCTTTAGCCAGCAGACCAAATCACCTCATGGCCATGGTGTTCTGACAGCCAGTAGATGGATTTATCAATACTGCCCTCTTGTTGCACAATGGGATGGGAAGGATCCATGTGCTGTCTTTGGCCCCTGGATGAGGCAATACATGGAACGAAAATTAATCTAAGTTTAATGCAAGAAACATGAAAGGATCATGCCTAGTTAAAGACACTGTTGTATATTTCATACATGTGTGAACCTTGCATTTTTGCTAGTATGAAGGCATCTACTGAATCCATTAAACACAGGGCAGGATTTGGCCCATAGCATTCTAAGTCAAATCAGTAACTGCAATGAGAAGTCCAGACTTGAGCACTCAAGGCAAAACTTTTGAATGCAGCTTTTTCCATTGCAGTTCACAGAAAAGGGTATCACACACGAGCATATTCCACATTTTTGTCATTTACAAAAGGCCCTTTTGCCTACACACATATTGCAAACCCTCCAATACTTCCCTGAGGGCTACAGTCAAACCTCAAAAGGGGTCAAAATATATGAAGCAGAGCTATTCCTTGCTCAAAAAAGCAAACGAAGAATATTCCACTCCTTTTTTTTTTTTTCCAGGTGGGGTTGCTGAAGTTGCAGAAATTAAAGCGGGCTGGAAGCAGCTGGCACACTGGGTAGCTATGTGGATTTTTCACTCCATCATTTACTCTTTAAAAACAAAGCTACTTTATGTCCATTAGCATCCCCTGCCTTAGGTGATAATGCATGTGGCTGTGTCTATTAAAAATCCTAATATCAATGAGACACTTTTTGCAAATTCAAGAGCTGCATAATGTCTGCCCCATAGGTATTGACTTGTTATGTGTTGCTGGAGGAGGTCAGCGGTGAAATAATCCCCTCCACCACTAGTGTGTGATCCAAAACTCATTGAAGACAATGGGAGTCTTTCAGTTGACTCCAAATGGGCTTTGGATCAGGCCCTCAGTATTTTCTCTCCTCTGGATTCTGGGTGGGATCGAATATAATTCTGCTTTCAGTCTTCTCCTGGGGCTGTCTCCAGACTTAAACACTCTTTGTTCTTCTCATTTCCCAGCAAGCCTGAAATTTCATGTAGGAGTGAACTGGAACTTCTCTTGAAACAGGAGAAACTGAAGGTGGTTGTGGATCCCATCTGGAGGATGGCAATCATTTAATATAAAAATGGACCTCTATGTGACATTCACAGTGCCCCATTTGTAATGGCTTTCACAACAGGAAACACTGTACCATGTGCAAGAAACTCTTCCTCAGCTGAATGTCCATTGTGTGCCTTCACCTCTTCTTCTTCTGACCTCATTATTGCTCCTTTTCTTGGTTCCCACTCCATCGTGTCTTCCTGTTTCCTTCTCCCCTCTTTTCTGTGTTTCACTTCCTTTCCATTTGCTCTTCTTTTTTTCCTCTCCCTTCCCTTTCCTTATTCTCCTTTCACTTTTCTCCTCCTCTTCCCCATCTCCTGTCTATTTTGGCATTATATCCCCCCCCCATGCCCTCCCCTTTTTTCTGTTAAAATAACTCTTGTTCATTCTCTTTTATTATATTTTTATATACACTTCCCTTTTACAATCCTGAGATAAAGAGAAATCAGAGAGCAAGTTTATCAACCACATAAAACAGTCCTCTGCACCGTAAGCTGAACTTGTTACCTACTGTATGTTTGAAAGGAATGACTGAGAAATATTCAAATTTTATCAGTCGACTTTAACAAAAATAGTTTGTGGTATTCATATCCCTTCAGATGCTGACTGGTGCTCATGTTTTTCCTTTTATTGGATTTGACATAAACATCCACAATTGCAACTCTTGCCAGCTTTTGTTTTCCCTTTTGTACAAAATGAAGAACACAATAATTTTGCCAGTAGATTTTGTGATCAGCAAAGTATTTGCACAGCCTAATTTATTTTTTTAAACAAAAGAGGTGGGGCTAGAATGATTCAAAGAACCCATTACACTCTCTCCTCTTAGCTCTCCTGCAGTCTCACATGAAGTCAGTTAAATGGCCTCAGCTTTACCCCCAGGGACCATATCACTGAACGCGACAGGTCACTTCGGTACACAAAGCACATTTTCCCTGCATATGTATTTCACACAGGATCCAGGGTTTCCCACTGATGCCCTAAAAAAAATCACCAGGCCCATGAGTTGCCTCTTGTGATGCAGATGAAGTAAATATGTCCTTCGGCAGAGACCAAACACTCCTGTTTCCCCACAGAAAAGGAAGAAAATTCCTCGTAATGCATGGCTGGGGCACGCGTGGTTCTCAGGAGAAGTGTTCTGTATTTGGTAGTAAGGGTATAGGATACAACAGTTACCACTGTTAATAAATGACAATCAGCAAATACTGCAATCGAGTGAAATATCAAATCAGGCCAGAGAGCAAGTTAAGGGCCAAACTGTGCCCGTAGGCCTCCTTAGCGCTGAGGGGAGTAGCTGCGATTGCTGAGCAGAGGTAACCTGAACTCGGTACAATTGCGACACAAGCAGAATGCCATGAAGGTGGGAGGCTGAGAATAACAGCCGGGGATGCAGACTAAGCCTTAGTGCTCATCACAGCTCATTCAAGGAGCCACTGCATGCATTTTCCTGCACACCTGCTACTAGGTGCTAAGAGGCATGCAGCAGGGTAGGACACTGACTCAGTTTGACAATCCCTGCTTAGTGCATAGAGTGCCAATGGCCGCACCAGCTGCCCACTGCTGGTGCTCAAAGAGCATTAAGAAAGCACACTGTGTAAGTCCTGCATGGCTGGGTACGGGCCAGGGTGGAGGTGGGAGCTATGGGGAAGAGGCTTCTGTGCCAATTTATCTCACTTACATACCAACACACTTGTTCAGGAAGAGCCACAAGTTATCCCTAACTATGGACATATTAGTGTCCTGTCCTATTCATCCACCTGGATGTGGCTGTATGGTATCTCCTTACTCCCCTGTTTGAGCTACCCATTTTGCAGGTTATGGTGTGGGTGGGTGAGCAATCTCCCTAGATCCACTCCTCCTGCATACATGGGTAGGGAATGGGCACACCCTCCCCCAATATGATGGCATGGGCATAAATGATCTGGCACCTGTTTAAGGGCTATGTCACAATCTGATCCCTGATCTGCTCCTGGGGCAGTACAACAATGTGCTGTCCTTTCCATTAGGGCTCATGGCAAAGCCGCAATCTCCACCTATGTGAGTCTTATCTAGAGCTTAATCCAAAGACCATTGAAGTCAACTGAAAGACTCTCGGACTTCAGTGGGCTTTGGATCAGGCCCCTATTCACTCAGATGTTTGCAGTGAAGTTTTGCTGGGGTGAACGTAGTGAGGACGTGGGGCTATCTTGGGGGGTAGAGTCTATTTAGTTACTATCAATGAGCTGAGCATTTTTACGAGCCCTTGAAGCATGAAGAATAATTGCATTTTATAAATAAAATAATTAAATTTAAAAAATGTTCCTGGCAACAATAACCTGTTGTCTAACATGCCAAGGATATCTGCACTTGATCTCACTAGAGGTACTGTATGTTCTGACTTTCTATTGATTTCTTTTTCAACAGACCATCACTAGGACACAGTAACACAACTGCTGCAATGGAGTTTTACACAGGGGTATTGTAGATTATAGAGAGCAAAACAAAACCTCTGATAGAAAATAATCCATCTTCTCCCTCTCCCACACCATGACAATCATTTAAAGTTATCCTGATCCTGATTCTTGGAGCTCCAAAACTGCTTCTGGTGTCCCCACTGCTGATAGTTCTGAATCTCTGATGCTGGCTGTAACTGTGTCTTAGTGGGTCACAACTGCGGATGCCAAATTCAGGACAAACTGCTGAAAAATAGGGCAAACACAACCCAAACTGGTGGTTATTCTTTTATAAGATATACCAAACCAGACACAAAAGTAAACTCCTGTTTCACCACACTGGCTAACAAGAAAACATAAAGGCAGTTTCCTCAGACATTCCAGTTCTTATATCACCACCAAAAACACTGGGTTCAGAGATGAGTGGTTCTTTACAACCAGTCTGATCAAATAATAGGTTGTTCTGATCCCAAAGGACCAGCCACACACCCAGGTCAATATATAACTTAGATCTTACCCAAAAATCACGCTGATGCCAATCCCTTAGTAACTAAAATCTAAAGGATAAAAGAGTTAAAATTGGTTAAAGGAATCAATTACATACAGTAATAGCAAAGTTCTTGGTTCAGGCTTGTAGCAGTGATGGAATAAACTGCTGGCTTTCATCAAGTCTCTGGAGTACATCCACAGCTTGGATGGGTCATTCAGTCCTTTGTTCAGAGCTTCAGTTTGTAGCAAAGTTCCTCCAGAGGTAAGACGCAGGATTGAAGACAAAATGGAGGTGTTTCTAGGGTCTTTTATAGCTTTTACCATGTGGAGGGCATCCCATTGTTCTTACTGTGGGAAATTACAGCAACAAGATGGCGTTTGGAGTCACATGAGCAAGTCACATGTTCATGCCCAATTTCCCTCAGTCATTGCAGGAAGCCATTACCTACACTCCAGACAGCACCTTTACATGACAGTCCACTCAGTGTAAATGGGTGTCTCCCATGGGCCATTGTCAACCAAATGTTTCTTGATGAACCACTTAATTTGAACAGTTCCTCCAAGATGTGCTGGCTAGCTACCTTGTGGGTGTTACCCCAGGAGCAAACATTTGAA